TGGTATCTACAGAACGTGAAGAACCAGTGGCATCTACATCTGCGGAAGGTGAAGAACCAGTGGCATCTACATCTACAGAATGTGAAGAACTAGTGGCATCTACATCTACAGAATGTGAAGAACCAGTGGCATCTAGATCTGCAGAATGTGAAGAACTAGTGGCATCTACATCTACAGAATGTGAAGAACCAGTGGCATCTACATCTGTAGAACGTGAAGAACCAGTGGCATCTACATCTGCAGAACGTGAAGAACCAGTGGCATCTACATCTACAGAACGTGGAGAACCAGTGGCATCTACATCTGCAGAACGTGAAGAACCAGTGGCATCTACATCTACGGAACGTGAGGGACCAGTGGCATCTACATCTGAAGAACTTGAAGAACCAGTGGCATCTACATCTACAGAATGTGAAGAACTAGTGGCGTCTACATCTGCAGAACGTGAAGAACCAGTGGCATCTACATCTGCAGACCGCAAAGAACCAGTGGCATCTACATCTGCAGAATGTGAAGAACCAGTGGCATCTACATCTGCAGAACGTGAAGAACCAGTGGCATCTACATCTACAGTACGTGAAGAACCAGTGGCATCTACATCTACAGAACGTGAAGAACTAGTGGCATCTACATCTACAGAACGTGAAGAACCAGCGGCATCTACATCTTTGGAATGTGAAGAACCAGTGGCATCTACATCTACAGAACATGAAGAACCAGTGGCATCTACATCTGCAGAACGTGAAGAACCAGTGGCATCTACAGAACGTGAAGAACCAGTGGCATCTACAGAACGTGAAGAACCAGTGGCATCTACATCTGTGGAACGTGAAGAACCAGTGGCATCTACATCTACAGAACGTGAAGAACCAGTGGCATCTACATCTGCGGAATGTGAAGAAACAGTAGCATCTACATCTACAGAACGTGAAGAACCAGTGGCATCTACATCTACAGAACGTGAAGAACAAGTGGCATCTACATCTGCAGAAGGTGAAGAACCAGTGGCATCTACATCTGCAGAACGTGAAGAACCAGTGGCATCTACAGAACGTGAAGAACCAGTGGCATCTACATCTACAGAACGTGAAGAACCAGTGCCATCTTCATCTGCAGAACGTGAAGATCCAGTGGTATCTACAGAACGTGAAGAACCAGTGGCATCTACAGAACGTGAAGAACCAGTGGCATCTACATATACAGAACGTGAAGAACCAGTGGCATCTACATCTGCAGAACGTGAAGAACCGTTGGCATCTTCATCTGCAGAACGTGAAGAACCTGTGGCATCTACATCTACAGAACGTGAAGAACCAGTGGCATCTACATCTGCGGAACGTGAAGAACCAGTGGCATCTTCATCTGCGGAACGTGAAGAACCAGTGGCATCTACATCTACAGAACGTGAAGAACCAGTGGCATCTACATCTGCAGAACGTGAAGAACCAGCGGCATCTACATCTATGGAATGTGAAGAACCAGTGGCATCTACAGCTACAGAACGTGAAGAACCAGTGGCATCTACATCTGCGGAATGTGAAGAACCAGTGGTATCTACAGAACGTGAAGAACCAGTGGCATCTACATCTACAGAACGTGAAGAACCAGTGGCATCTTCATCTGCAGAATGTTAAGAACCAGTGGCATCTACAGAACGTGAAGAACCAGTGGTATCTACAGAACGTGAAGAATCAGTGGCATCTACATCTACAGAACGTGAAGAACCAGTGGCATCTACATCTACAGAACGTGAAGAACCAGTGGCATCTACATCTACAGAACGTGAAGAACCAGTGGCATCTACATCTACAGAACGTTAAGAACCAGTGGCATCTACACCTGCGGAAGGTGAAGAATCAGTGGCATCTACATCTACAGGAGATTATACAGCTTGTAACGCTGTTCCATCCGTGTTCAGTGTACACGCGGAACAGCCTGGTTGGAATTGACAGACGTAAAGTTAGGGTCACGAACAAAACCGACTTACGAACAGGCGCCTCCGACACTAGTTCAAGAACAATTTGTAGTGTATAGTGTAGTGTGTAGTGTGGTGTATAGTGTAGTGTGTAGTGTGGTGTATAGTGTAGTGTATAGTGTAGTGTATAGTGTATAGTGTAGTGTATAGTGTAGTGTATAGTGTAGTGTATAGTGTAGTGTATAATGGTGTGGTGTATAGTGTAGTATATAGTAGTGTATGGTGTAGTATCTAGTGTAGTGTACAGTGTAGTGTTTAGTGGTGTGGTGTATAGTGGTGTAGTGTATAGTGTAGTTTATAGTAGTGTATAGTGTAGTGTATAGTGTAGTATATAGTAGTGTATAGTGTAGTGTATAGTGTAGTGTATATTGTAGTATATAGTAGTGTATAGTGTAGTGTATAGTGTAGTGTATATTGTAGTATATAGTAGTGTATAGTGTAGTCTATAGTGTAGTGTGGTTTTCACAGCTGATGACGATTGCTCGTGTTGCAGTCGAAACGTCGTGATAATTTCACCGTTTCATATTTTTTTTATTTTATTTTATTGTTTCCCTTCTACGCGGTGGTGACTTCACCGAAAGAACCAAGAATAAGACCACCCAGTCTACCGTCGTGGATACCAGCGGCGTGCCACGCCAATTCTTTGGGCCTTTCCGTTTTCGATTAATTCTTTGATATTTCCTTTCAACCCATCAACGTGAGTTCACCGGACCACCCCCCCCCCCCCCCCACAAAGAATCTGAATTCCTGCAGTCACGAAAGCTTCGAGTCAAGAGTTTTACCGGTAGGTACGAAGTTGTAAACTGAGTGTACCAGCCTGCAATCGATTAATGTGTCCGTCCGTCCGTCCGTCCGTCCGCTTTCAATACTTTAACGAAGTGAAATCTCGTGCTGTTGGGTGTATAATTTTTTAACGAAGTGAAATCTCGTGCTGTTGGGTGTATAAATTTTTTAACGAAGTGAAATCTCGTGCTGTTGGGTGTATAATTTTTTAACGAAGTGAAATCTCGTTCTGTTGGGTGTATAATTTTTTAACGAAGTGAAATCTCGTGCTGTTGGGTGTATAAATATTTTAACGAAGTGAAATCTCGTGCTGTTGGGTGTATAATTTTTTAACGAAGTGAAATCTCGTGCTGTTGGGTGTATAATTTTTTAACGAAGTGAAATCTCGTGCTGTTGGGTGTATAATTTTTTAACGAAGTGAAATCTCGTGCTGTTGGGTGTATAATTTTTTAACGAAGTGAAATCTCGTGCTGTTGGGTGTATAATTTTTTAACGAAGTGAAATCTCGTGCTGTTGGGTGTATAATTTTTTAACGAAGTGAAATCTCGTGCTGTTGGGTGTATAATTTTTTAACGAAGTGAAATCTCGTGCTGTTGGGTGTATAAATTTTTTAACGAAGTGAAATCTCGTGCTGTTGGGTGTATAATTTTTTAACGAAGTGAAATCTCGTGCTGTTGGGTGTATACATTTTTTAACGAAGTGAAATCTCGTGCTGTTGGGTGTATAATTTTTTAACGAAGTGAAATCTCGTGCTGTTGGGTGTATACATTTTTTAACGAAGTGAAATCTCGTGCTGTTGGGTGTATAATTTTTTAACGAAGTGAAATCTCGTGCTGTTGGGTGTATACATTTTTTAACGAAGTGAAATCTCGTGCTGTTGGTCTGTAATAATTTGTCCGAAGAACCCTCAACGATTTCGAGGGCAAAAAAAGGTGGGAAGACGCTCTCAATTTGCACAATTTTTACGTAACAATGTCGTAAAATTGCGCAAAATTCCAATGTTCCTACCAGCCTTACCCTGCATGGACCTGTTATTGTCATGCCTGTCAACCTCTTGTTCAGTGCCCTACCTTATTACGGACCAGGCCAGACGTTATCGGTCACCACCCCGTCTCGCCTGATGAGTCTCAACGCGTAGCCTCGCGACCGGACGACGAGGACGGATCATTTGAGGGTCGCGTTTTATTGTTCGGCGCTGCAGGCTGTCGAGCCGAGGGATAGAACGCCGCGGGTTAAAAGAATAAAATAAACGGAGCTTGTTGGGCGAGCGTGGAGTTTCGAGCGATAACGAAGGGGCCGTTACCGTCGGTCCGTCGTGGCGAGGCGGAGGGATGACGGGAACCGCGTCGGCAGACCCCACCACTGTTTGTGTGCGATGCGAATCATCTCACGCCCCGTCACCCACCCACACACTCACTCACCCACCCACTCACTCACTCACCCACCCACCCATCCACTCACCCACCCACCCACTCACCCACCCATTCACCCACCCACTCACCCAACCACTGACCCACCCACCAACCCGCCCACTCACCCACCCACCCACTCACCCAGCTACCCACTCACCCACTCATCCACCCAATCACCCACTCATCCATTCACCCACCCACCCACCAACCCACACACCAACTCACCCACCCACTGACCCACCCACCAACCCTCCCACTCACCCACCCACTCACTAACCCACCCACTCAAACCCAACCACTCAAACCCACCAACCCACTCACTCACCCACCCACTCACTCACTCACTCACCCACCCACTCATCCACCCACCCACCCACTCGCTCACCCACTCAACTACCCACTCACCCACTCACTCACCCACTCAACCACCCACACACCCACTCTCCCGCTCACTCACCCGCTCACCCACTCGCTCACCCACTCAACCACCCACTGACCCACTCACTCACCCACCCACTCATCCACCCATCCACCCACTCGCTCACCCACTCAACCACCCACTGACCCACTCACTCACCCACCCACTCATCCACCCACCCACCCACTCGCTCACCCACTCAACCACCCACTGACCTACTCAATCACCCACCCACTCATCCACCCACCCACCCACTCACCCACCCACTCACTCACCCACTCACCTACTTACTCACCCACCCACTCAACCACCCACACACCCACTCTCCCGCTCACTCACCCGCTCACCCACTCGCTCACCCACTCAACCACCCACTGACCCACCCACCCACCCACCCGCCCGCCCGCACCAGGCCTGTTCCCGTGCCTGAAGGCGACGTTCACGCTGAGCAGGCAGATGGGCTACTACGTGACCCAGGTGTACGTGCCCAGCCTGCTGCTCGTCATGGTCTCCTGGCTCTCCTTCTGGATCAACAAGGACCCGGCACCCGCCCGGGTCAATCTGGCCGCCACCACCATCCTCAGCATGATCACCAAGAGCACCGACTCCCGGTCCTTCCTGCCCAAGGTGCGTAGCGCGTGGTGCTGGGGTGGGGCTTGATCCACGCTCGATCCACGCTCGATCACAGACACACAGGTATTCACAATATCACAGCTTGATCCACGCTCGATCCACGGTCGATCACATACATACAGGCATTCACAATATCACAGCTCGATCCACACTCGATCACAGACACACAGGTATTCACAATATCACAGCTCGATCCACGCTTGATCCAAGCTCGATCACATACACACAGGCATTCACAATATCACAGCTTGATCCACGCTTGATCCAAGCTCGATCACATACACACAGGCATTCACAATATCACAGCTTGATCCAAGCTCGATCACATACACTCAGGCATTCACAATATCACAGCTTGATCCAAGCTCGATCACATACACACAGGCATTCACAATATCACAGATTGATCCAAGCTCGATCACATACACACAGGCATTCACAATATCACAGCTTGATCCACGCTTGATCCACGCTCGATCACATACACACAGGCATTCACAATTTTACAGCTTGATCCACGCTTGATCCACGCTCAATCACAGACACACAGGTATTCACAATATCACAGCTTGATCCACGCTTGATCCACAGTCGATCACATATACACAGGAATTCACAATATCACAGCTCCATCCACGCTTGATCCACGCTCGATCACATAGACACAGGCATTCACAATATCACAGCTCGATCCACGCTTGATCCAAGCTCGATCACATACACACAGGTATTCACAATATCACATCTTGATCCACGCTCGATCCACGCTCGATCACATATACACAGGCATTCACGATATCACAGCTTGATCCACGCTTGATCCAAGCTCGATCACAACCACGCAGGCATTCACAATATCACAGCTCGATCCACGCTTGATCCAAGCTCGATCACATACACACAGCTATTCACAATATCACAGCTTGATCCACGCTTGATCCACGGTCGATCACATACACACAGCTATTCACAATATCACAGCTTGATCCACGCTAGATCCACGCTTGATCACATACACACAGGCATTCACAATATCACAGCTTGATCCACACTTGATCCACGCTCGAACGCATACACACAGCTATTCACAATATCACAGCTCGATCCACGCTTGATCCACGCTCGATCACATACACACAGGCATTCACAATATCACAGCTTGATCCACGCTTGATCCACGCTCGATCACACACACACAGGTATTCACAATATCACAGCTTGATCCACGCTTGATCCACACTCGATCACATACACACAGGCATTCACAATATCACAGCTTGATCCACGCTCAATCACATACACACAGCTATTCACAATATCACAGCTTGATCCACGCTTGATCCACACTCGATCACATACACACAGGCATTCACAATATCACAGCTTGATCCACGCTCAATCACATACACACAGCTATTCACAATATCACAGCTTGATCCACGTTTGATCCACGGTCGATCACATACACACAGGCATTCACAATATCACAGCTTGATCCACGCTTGATCCAAGCTCGATCACATACACACAGGCATTCACAATATCACAGCTTGATCCACGCTTGATCCAAGCTCGATCACATATACACAGGTATTCACGATATCACAACTTGATCCACGCTTGATCCAAGCTTGATCCACGCTCGATCACAGACACACAGGTATTCACAATATCACAGCTCGATCCATGCTTGATCCACGCTCGATCACATACACACAGGCATTCACAATATCACAGCTTGATCCAGGCTCGATCCACGCTCGATCACATACACACAGGCATTCACAATATCACAGCGTGATCCACGCTTGATCCACGATTGATCACATACACGCAGGTATTCACGATATCACAGCTTGATCCACACTCGATCACATACACACAGTTATTCACAATATCACAGCTTGATCCAAGCTTGATCCATGTTCGAACACATACACACAGTTATTCACAATATCACAGCTTGATCCACGCTTGATCCAAGCTCGATCACATACACACAGGCATTCACAATATCACAGCTTGATCCACGCTTGATCCACGCTCGATCACATACACACAGGCATTCACAATATCACAGCTCGATCCACGCTTGATCCACGCTCGATCACATACGCACAGGCATTCACAATATCACAGCTTGATCCACGCTTGATCCAAGCTCGATCACATACACGCAGGTATTCACAATTTCACAGCTTGATCCACGCTTAATCCATGCTCGATCACAGACACACAGGCATTCACAATATCACAGCTTGATCCACGCTTGATCCACGCTCGATCACATACACACAGGCATTCACAATATCACAGCTTGATCCACGCTTGATCCACGCTCGATCACATACACACAGGCATTCACAATATCACAGCTCGATCCACTCTTGATCCACGCTCGATCACATACACGCAGGTATTCACAATATCACAGCTCGATCCACGCTTGATCCACACTCGATCACATACACGCAGGCATTCACAATATCACAGCTTTATCCACACTCGATCACATACACACAGGCATTCACAATATCACAGCTCGATCCACGCTCGATCACACACACACAGATATTCACAATATCACAGCTCGATCCACGCTTGATCCACGCTCGAACACATACACGCAGGCCATTCAAAACCATCACTTTACCCTACATTGCGGGGATCACAAAAAAGATCTCCAAAATCTTGAATAAATAAAAGATCCAGGTTCCGATTCAACACATTACATGAAGTCCGTGATATGGTTCCGTCTGTAAAAGATGTGATTCCGGACATACAGTACTCTGGTGTCTACAAACTAAGTTGCCTCTGTGGTAGTAGCTACATTGGAGAAACCAAACGCCATGTCTCGGACCGCATCCGCGACCACAAAGCAGTTTTGAAACACGGTAGGACCAACACCACGGCCGTGGCAGATCACTGTTATAATTCAGTGGGTTCACATGACATTGACTTCTCCAAGACAGAGGTTCTTCGCAAAACCATCCGGCTACCATGAGAGAGATTTGCTCATGAGGGCTATCCACATATACAAACACGGGGACAATCTCAACCGAGAAGATGGATTCTGGCTTAGCAATCATTGGAAGGGTTTGATAAAACCATTTCGGGTCTTAAGTCATTGTGTTCACGCTTACGGTGGCTTTCAGACTGCGTCCATTATTTTTCTTTTCCCCCCCTCCTCTTTTCCAAACATAGATGGTTTCGATTTAAAGCTTTCGTGACTTGCAAGGATTCATCTTCTTTGGTTCTTTTGGTAAAGTCACCACCACGTAGAATGAGAATAAAATAATAAATCGATAAAATAAAATAACACAGTGAAATTCTCACGACGTTTCGGCCACAACACAAGCGGCCATCATCAGGTGAAGGGGACGAGACTGTCTGGAGGACAGCGCTGGAGCGAACACAGCCAAGCTCAGATCGCGACCTTTAAGCTGTGTGAGAAGAAACAAAGCGCCTTGACAAAGGAATTAGCATAGAATTTAGCATTGAAATAGCTGAGTGATTAGCTTGTGACTGGTCGCAGAAATGGCTATGTTAAAGTCAAAGCCTACACATCCACAAAGGCACCTAGTACAAATCAAACAGGAGAATTTAGCATTGAAATAACTGAGGATTAGCTTGTGACTGGTCATAGAAATAGTTATGTTAAATTCAAAGCCTACACATCCACAGAGGCACCTAGTACAAATAAAACAGGAGAATTTAGCATTGAAATAGCTGAGTGATTAGCTTGTGACTGGTCACAGAAATGGCTATGTTAAAGTCAAAGCCTACACATCCACAGAGGCACCCCTTGACAAAGGAATTAGCATAGAATTTAGCATTGAAATAGCTGAGTGATTAGCTTGTGACTGGTCACAGAAATGGCTATGTTAAAGTCAAAGCCTACACATCCACAGCGGCACCCCGTGACAAAGGAATTAGCATAGAATTTAGCATTGAAATAGCTGAGTGATTAGCTTGTGACTGGTCACAGAAATGGCGATGTTAAAGTCAAAGCCTACACATCCACAGAGGCACCTAGTACAAATCAAACAGGAGAATTTAGCATTGAAATAACTGAGGGATTAGCTTGTGACTATGACCAGTCACAAGCTAATCACTCAGCTATTTCAATGCTAATTTTTACGCTAATTCCTTTGTCAAGGCGCTCAGTTTCTTCTCACACAGCTTAAAGGTCCGCGGTCCGAGCGTGGCTGTGTTCGCTCCAGCGCTGTCCTCCAGACAGTCTCGTCCCCTTCACCTGATGAAGGCCGCTTGTGCCGCGGCCGAAACGTCGCGGGTAATTTCATCGCGTCGTTTCGTTCCATCAATTTATTGTTTCGTTCTCATTCCACGCGGTGGTGACTTTACCGAAAGAACCAAAAGAACGTCTGATGGCCTCGTCCAATCTGAGCAAACCGCCAAATCGGCTCTCCGTGCCGCTGACGTTAAGTGGGGGGCCGGGAAAAAACAAACGCCGCTTTTTTTCAAATCGTTCCCGCCGCTGTTTTCTCCGCCCGCACCCGCCGATGGCTGCTTTCTCGTTCGCCGGGATCGCGGACGTCGCGAGAATTCTAGATTTGAAGCTTTCGCGTCTCGCAAGGATCCACACTCCTTTTGATTCTATTCGGTAAAGTCACCACGTAGGTAAGTAAGTAAAATAAAACGGCAAAAAACGGCAAAAATCACGACGTTTCGGCCGCGACACAAGCGGCCCTCATCAGGTTGAAGGGATCAGGCTGTCTCGAGGACAGCGCTGGAGTGAAACAGTCGGCCGATCAAACGCTAATTTTTTTTACGCTAATTTCTTTTGTCAGGGCACCTTGTTTCCTCGCACACAGCTTGAAGGTCCGCGGTTCCGGGCGTGGCTGCGTTTCGCTCCAGCGCTGTCCTCCAGACAGCCTGGTCCCTTCGACCTGATGAAGGCCGCTTGTGTCATGGCCGAAACGTCGCGGGAATTTCATCGCGTTATTTTATTTTAACGATTCATTATTTCGTTCTCATTCCACGCGGCGGTGACTTTACCGAAAGAACCAAAGATGATGAATCCCTGCAAGTCACAAAAAGCTTTAAAAATCGAAATTTGTCTTGTGGTGGTGGTTGTTGTTGTGGTTGTTGTTGTTGTTGTTTGACTTTGCAATCCCGCTGGGATTATTTGCACTGAGCGTTGGTGGTGTAACGCTGCTTTTTTTTTAAAGGAATACCTACGTGGTGACTTTACCGAAAGAACCAAAGATGATGAATCCCTGCAAGTCACGAAAAGCTTTTAAAAAATCGAAATTTGTCTTGTGGTGGTGGTTGTGGTTGTTGTTGTGCTGGTTGTTGTTGTTGTTGTTGTTTGACTTTGCAAACCCGCTGGGATTATTTGCAACAAGCGTTGGTGGTGTGACGCCGCTTTGTTTTTTAAGGAATACCTACGTGGTGACTTTACCGAATAGAACCAAAGATGATGAATCCTTGCAAGTCACGAAAAGTTTTATGAAATCGAAATTTGTCTTGTGGTGGTGGTTGTTGTTGTTGTGGTGGTTGTTGTTGTGGTGGTTGTTGTGGTTGTTGTGGTTGTTGTTGTTGTTGTTGTTTGACTTTGCAATCCCGCTGGGATTATTTGCACCGAGCGTTGGTGGTGTAACGCTGCTTTTTTTTTTTAAAGGAATACCTACGTGGTGACTTTACCGAATAGAACCAAAGATGATGAATCCCTGCAAGTCACGAAAAGCTTTTTAAAAAATCGAAATTTGTCTTGTGGTGGTGGTTGTGGTTGTTGTGGTTGTTGTTGCTGTTGTTGTTGTTGTTGTTTTTGTTGTTGTTGTTGTTTGACTTTGCAATCCCGCTGGGATCATTTGCACGAAGCGTTGGTGGTTCTAACGCTGCTTTTTTTCGAAGGAATACCTACGTGGTGACTTTACCGAATAGAACCAAAGATGATGAATCCCTGCAAGTCACGAAAAACTTTTAAAAATCGAAATTTGTCTTGTGGTGGTGGTGGTTGTTGTGGTTGTTGTGGTGGTTGTGGTTGTTGTGGTGGTGGTTGTTGTTGTTGTGGTTGTTGTTGTTGTTGTTGTTTGACTTTGCAATCCCGCTGGGATTATTTGCACCGAGCGTTGGTGGTGTAACGCCGCTTTTTTTTTCGAAGGAATACCTACGTGGTGACTTCACCGAATAGAACCAAAGATGATGAATCCCTGCAAGTCACGAAAAGCTTTTAAAAAATCGAAATTTGTCTTGTGGTGGTGTTTGTTGTGGTTGTTGTGGTGGTTGTGGTTGTTGTGGTGGTGGTTGTTGTTGTTGTGGTGGTTGTTGTTATTGTTGTTGTTTGACTTTGCAATCCCGCTGAGATCATTTGCACGAAGCGTTGGTGGTTCTAACGCTGCTTTTTTTTTTTAAAGGAATACCTACGTGGTGACTTCACCGAATAGAACCAAAGATGATGAATCCCTGCAAGTCACGAAAAGCTTTAAAAATCGAAATTTGTCTTATGGTGGTGGTTGTTGTTGCTGTTGTTGTGGTTGTTGTTGTGGTTGTTGTGGTTGTTGTTGTAGTTGTTTGACTTTGCAATGCCGCTGGGATTATTTGCACAGAGCGTTGGTGGTGTAACGCTGCTTTTTTTTTTAAGGAATACCTACGTGGTGACTTTACCGAAAGAACCAAAGATGATGAATCCCTGCAAGTCACGAAAAGCTTTTAAAAAAATCGAAATTTGTCTTGTGGTGGTGGTTGTTGTTGTTGTTGTGGTGGTTGTTGTTGTTGTTGTTGTTTGACTTTGCAATCCCGCTGGGATTATTTGCACAGAGCGTTGGTGGTGTGACGCTGCTTTTTTTTTAAGGAATACCTACGTGGTGACTTCACCGAATAGAACCAAAGATGATGAATCCCTGCAAGTCACAAAAAGCTTTAAAAATCGAAATTTGTCTTGTGGTGGTGGTGGTTGTTGTGGTTGTTGTGGTTGTTGTTGTTGTTGTGGTTGTTGTTGTTGTGGTGGTTGTTGTTGTGGTGGTTGTTGTTGTTGTTTGACTTTGCAATCCCGCTGGGATCATTTGCACCGAGCGTTGGTGGTGTAACGCCGCTTTTTTTTCGAAGGAATACCTACGTGGTGACTTCACCGAATAGAACCAAAGATGATGAATCCCTGCAAGTCACAAAAAGCTTTAAAAATCGAAATTTGTCTTGTGGTGGTGGTGGTTGTTGTGGTTGTTGTGGTGGTTGTTGTTGTTGTTGTGGTTGTTGTTGTTGTGGTGGTTGTTGTTGTTGTTTGACTTTGCAATCCCGCTGGGATCATTTGCACGGAGCGTTGGTGGTTCTAACGCTGCTTTTTTTTTTGAAGGAATACCTACGTGGTGACTTCACCGAATAGAACCAAAGATGATGAATCCCTGCAAGTCACGAAAAGCTTTTAAAAAAAATCGAAATTTGTCTTGTGGTGGTGGTTGTTGTGGTTGTTGTGGTGGTTGTGGTTGTTGTGGTGGTGGTTGTTGTTGTTGTGGTTGTTGTTGTGGTTGTTTGACTTTGCAATCCCGCTGGGATTATTTGCACGAAGCGTTGGTGGTTCTAACGCTGCTTTTTTTTTTTTAAAGGAATACCTACGTGGTGACTTTACCGAATAGAACCAAAGATGATGAATCCCTGCAAGTCACGAAAAACTTTTAAAAATCGAAATTTGTCTTGTGGTGGTGGTGGTGGTTGTTGTGGTTGTTGTTGCTGTTGTTGTTGTTTTTGTTGTTGTTGTTGTTTGACTTTGCAATCCCGCTGGGATCATTTGCACGAAGCGTTGGTGGTTCTAACGCTGCTTTTTTTTTCTAAAGGAATACCTACGTGGTGACTTTACCGAATAGAACCAAAGATGATGAATCCCTGCAAGTCACGAAAAGCTTTTAAAAAAATCGAAATTTGTCTTGTGGTGGTGGTTGTTGTTGTTGTTGTGGTGGTTGTTGTGGTTGTTGTTGTTTGACTTTGCAATCCCGCTGGGATCATTTGCAAGAAGCGTTGGTGGTTCTAACGCTGCTTTTTTTTTCTAAAGGAATACCTACGTGGTGACTTTACCGAATAGAACCAAAGATGATGAATCCTTGCAAGTCACGAAAAACTTTTAAAAATCGAAATTTGTTTTGTGGTGGTGGTGGTTGTTGTTGTTGTTGTGGTTGTTGTTGTTGTTTGACTTTGCAATCCCGCTGGGATTATTTGCACGAAGCGTTGGTGGTTCTAACGCTGCTTTTTTTTTCGAAGGAATACCTACGTGGTGACTTCACCGAATAGAACCAAAGATGATGAATGATCCTCCCGTCTCTGTGCGTCTCTCGCTGCGCCCGGCACGCGAGGTAGGTGTCCTACGCCACCGCCATGGACGTGTGGATGGCCACGTGCCTGGTGTTCGTGATCGCTGTGCTGGTGGAGTACACGCTGGTACAGGCCACGGCACGCCGGGCCAAGGACTCCAAAGTGGTGGAGGAGAGTAAGGTGGGTGGGGGTGGGGGGGTGGTGGTGGTGGGGGGGGTGGGGGGGTGGTGGTGGGGGGGGGGGGCCGAGATGGGCGTGGCTGTCGTTCGTTCGATCTGCTCGCTTGTTCTGTCACTCATTCGGATGTTGCGCGACTCTCCCCCTCCTCCTGCTCCTCCTCCCCCTCCTCCTCCTGCTCCTCCTCTCCCTCCTCCTCCTCCTCCTGCTCCTCCTCCTCCTGCTCCACCTCCTCCTCCTCCTCCTGCTCCTCCTCCTGCTCCTCCTCCCCCTCCTCCTCCTCCTGCTCCTCCTCCTCCTGCTCCACCTCCTCCTCCTGCTCCTCCTCCCCCTCCTCCTCCTCCTCCTCCTCCTCCTCCTCCTCCTCCACCTGCTCCTCCTCCCCCTCCTCCTCCTCCTCCTCCTCCCCCTCCTCCTCCTCGCCCTCCTCCCCCTCCTCCTCCTCCTCCTCCTCCTCCTCCTCCTCCTCCTCCTCCTCCCCCTCCTCCTCCTCCCCCTCCTCCTCCTCCCCCTCCTCCTCCTCCCCCTCCTCTTCCTCCCCCTCCTCTTCCTCCCCCTCCTCCTCCTCCTCATCCTCCTCCTCCTCTTTCTCCTCCACCCCCTCCACCTCCTCCACCTCCTCATCCTCCTCCACCCCCTCCTCCTCCTCATCCTCCTCCTCCACCTCTCCCTCCTCCTCCTCCCCCTCCTCCCCCTCCCACACCCCCCTCCCCCCCTCCCCCTCCCCCCACACCCCCCACACCTCCCACACCCCTCCCCCCCACACCCCCCACACCCCTCCCCCCCCCACTCCCTCCACGTGCCCGCAGGAGTCTCCGGCCGAGCTGGAGAAGAAGTTCACGCGGCAGGCGGTGATGGTGGATGTGAAGGCGCGCTTCGTGTTCCCCGCGGCCTTCGCCGCCTTCAACGCCGTCTACTGGGTCACCTGCGTCGTGGGCCTCAAGAGCCTGCAGTGAAGACACCACCACAGAGACACCACCACCACAGAGACACCACAGAGACACCACAGAGACACCGTGTCCACCACAGAGACACCACAACCACAGAGACACTGCACTGATAACGCCGTCTACTGGGTCACCTGCGTCGTGGGCCTCAAGAGCCTGCAGTGAAGACACCACCACAGAGACACCGCAGAGACACCACAACTACAGAGACACCACAACTACAGAGACACCACAGAGACACCACAGAGACACCACCACCACAGAGACACCACCACCACCACAGAGACACCACAACTACAGAGACACCACACTGATAACGCCGTCTACTGGGTCACCTGCGTCGTGGGCCTCAAGAGCCTGCAGTGAAGACACAACCACAGAGACACCGCAGAGACACCACAGAGACACCACAACTACAGAGACACCACCACCACCACAGAGACACCACAACTACAGAGACACCGCACTGATAACGCCGTCTACTGGGTCACCTGCGTCGTGGGCCTCAAGAGCCTGCAGTGAAGACTCAGCAGAGACACCACAACTACAGAGACACCACAACTACAGAGACACCACAACTACAGAGACACCACAGAGACACCGTGTCCACCACAGAGACACCACCACCACAGAGACACCACAGAGACACTACAGAGACACTGCACTGATAACGCCGTCTACTGGGTCACCTGCGTCGTGGGCCTCAAGAGCCTGCAGTGAAGACACCACCACAGAGACACCACCACCACAGAGACACCACAGAGACACCACAGAGACACCGTGTCCACTACAGAGACACCACAGAGACACCGTGACTACAGAGACACCACAGAGACACCGTGTCCACCACAGAGACACCACCACTACAGAGACACTGCACTGATAACGCCGTCTACTGGGTCACCTGCGTCGTGGGCCTCAAGAGCCTGCAGTGAAGACACCGCCACAGAGACACCGCAGAGACACCGCAGAGACACCACAGAGACACCACAACTACAGAGACACCACAGAGACACCGTGTCCACCACAGAGACATCACAACTACAGAGACACCGTGTCCACCACAGAGACACCACAACTACAGAGACACCACAGAGACACCACAGAGACACCACAGAGACACCACAGAGACACCGTGTCCACCACAGAGACATCACAACTACAGAGACACCGTGTCCACCACAGAGACACCACAACTACAGAGACACCACAGAGACACCGTGTCCACCACAGAGACACCACAACCACAGAGACACTGCACTGATAACGCCGTCTACTGGGTCACCTGCGTCGTGGGCCTCAAGAGCCTGCAGTGAACACACAACCACAGAGACACCACACTGATAACAACAGAGACACCACAGAGACACCGTGTCCACCACAGAGACACCACAACCACAGAGACACCACAACCACAGAGACACCACAACCACAGAGACACCACAACCACAGAGACACCACAACCACAGAGACACCACAACCACAGAGACACCACAACCACAGAGACACCGTGTCCACCACCACAGAGACACCGTGTCCACCACAGAGACACCACAACTACAGAGACACCGTGTCCACCAAAGAGACACCACAACCACAGAGACACCGTGTCCACCACAGAGACACCACAACTACAGAGACACCACAGAGACACTACAGAGACACTGCACTGATAACGCCGTCTACTGGGTCACCTGCGTCGTGGGCCTCAAGAGCCTGCAGTGAAGACACCACCACAGAGACACCGCAGAGACACCGCAGAGACACCACAGAGACACCACAACCACAGAGACACCACAACCACAGAGACACCGTGTCCACCACAGAGACACCACAACCACAGAGACACCACAACCACAGAGACACCGTGTCCACCACAGAGACACCACAACCACAGAGACACCACAACCACAGAGACACCACAACCACAGAGACACCGTGTCCACCACAGAGACATCGTGACCACAACCACAGAGACACCACAATTACAGAGACACCACAGAGACACCACAGAGACACCGCAACTACAGAGACACCACCACCACAGAGACACCGTGTCCACCACAGAGACACCGTGTCCACCACTACAGAGACATCACAACTACAGAGACACCGTGTCCACCACAGAGACATCACCACCACAGAGACACCGCACTGATAACCACAGAGACACCACCACCACAGAGACACCGCCACCACCACTACAGAGACATCACAACTACAGAGACACCGTGACGACCACCACAGAGACATCGTGTCCACCACAGAGACACCACCACCACAGAGACACCACAGAGACACCGTGACCACCACCACAGAGACACCGTATCCACCACAGAGACACCACCACCACAGAGACACCACAGAGACACCGTGACCACCACTACAGAGACACCGTGTCCACCACCACTACAGAGACACCGTGACCACCACCACAGAGACACCGTGTCCACCACCAGTACAGAGACATCGTGTCCACCACCACTACAGAGACACCGTGACCACCACCACAGAGACACCGTGTCCACCACCAGTACAGAGACACCGTGTCCACCACATAGACACCGTGACTACAGAGACACCGCAGAGACATCACAACCACAGAGACACCACAGAGACACCACAGAGATACCACAACTACAGAGACACCACAGAGACACCACAGAGACACCGCAGAGACATCACAACCACAGAGACACCGCAGAGACACCACAGAGACACCGCAACTACAGAGACACCACAGAGACACCACAGAGACACCACAGAGACATCACAACTACAGAGACACCACCACCACAGAGACACCGTGTCTACCACTACAGAGATACCACAACTACAGAGACACCACAGAGGCACCACAGAGACACCGTCACCACCACTACAGAGACACCGTGTCCACTACAGAGACACCACAGAGACACCCTGACCACCACTACAGAGACACCACCACCACAGAGACACCGTGTCCACCACTACAGAGACACCACAGAGATACCACAACTACAGAGACACCGCACTGATAATGCCGTCTACTGGGTCACCTGCGTCGTGGGCCTCAAGAGCCTGCAGTGAAGACTCAGGAGAGACACCACAGAGACACCACAGAGACACCACCACCACAGCACTACAGAGACATCACAACTACAGAGACACCACACTGATAACCACAGATTCACCGTGTCCACCACAGAGACACCGTGTCCACCACAGAGACACCACCACAACTACAGAGACACCGCAGAGACACCGCCACTACAGAGACACCATGACCACAGAGACACCGAGATCATGACCACAGAGACACCGCAGAGACCACAGAGACACCGTGACCACCACCACAGAGACACTGCACTGATAACCACAGAGACACCGTAACCACAGAGACACCGCAGAGACCACAGAGACACCGTGTCCACCACCACTACAGAGACACCGCCACCACAGAGACACCGTGACCACAGAGACACCGAGACCACCACTACAGAGACACCGAGACCACTACTACAGAGACATCACCACCACTACAGAGACACCACCACCACAGAGACACCGTGACCACAGAGACACCGAGACCACCACTACAGAGACACCGAGACCACCACTACAGAGACATCACCACCACTACAGAGACACCGCCACCACAGAGACACCGCCACCACAGAGACACCGTGATCACAGAGACACCGAGACCACCACTACAGAGACATCACCACCACCACAGAGACACCGAGACCACAGAGACACAACAGAGACACCACAGAGACACCGTGACCACCACTACAGAGACACCGCCACCACAGAGACACCGCCACCACAGAGACACCGTGTCCAACACCACTACAGAGACATCACCACCACCACAGAGACACTGCACTGACAACCACAGAGACACCGCAGAGACCACAGAGACACCGTGACCACCACCACCACAGAGACACTGCACTGACAACCACAGAGACACCGAGACCACCACTACAGAGACATCACCACCACCACAGAGACACTGCACTGATAACCGCAGATACACCGAGAGCACCACCACAGAGACACTGCACTGACAACCACAGAGACACCGAGACCACCACCACAGAGACATCACCACCACCACAGAGACACTGCACTGACAACCACAGAGACACCGAGACCACCACAGAGACACCGAGACCACCACAGAGACACCGAGACCACCCCACCCACCACCCGACATGTGAACCATAGCCGCGTATGGGGCAAACTAAATAAAAGTTGGATAATCACATTGACTACAGTGTGGTGTGGGTGGTGTGTGGTGTGGTGTGTGTCGTGTAGTGTGTGTGGTGTGTGTGTGGTGTGTGTGGTGTGTGTGGTGAGTGTGGTGTAGTATGTGTGTGGTGTGTGTGGTGTAGTGTGTGTGGTGTGTGTGGTGTATGTGGTGTGTGGTGTGGTGTGTGTGGTGTGTGGTGTGTGTGGTGTAGTGTGTGTGGTGTGTGTGGTGTATGTGGTGTGTGGTGTGGTGTGTGTGGTGTGTGGTGTGGTGTGTGTGGTGTACGTGGTGAGTGTGGTGTAGTATGTGTGTGTGTGGTGTGTGTGGTGTAGTATATGTGGTGTACGTGGTGAGTGTGGTGTAGTGTGTGTGGTGGGTGTGGTGTGTGTGTGGTGTGTGTGGTGTGTGTGGTGTGGTGTACGTGGTGTGTGTCGTGTGTGTGGTGAGTGTGGTGTGTGTGGTGTGTGTGTGGTGTGTGTGGTGTGGTGTGTGTGGTGTGGTGTGTGTGGTATGTGTGATGAGTGTGGTGTGTGTGGTGTGTGTGATGAGTGTGGTGTGTGTGGTGTGGTGTGTGTGGTGTGGTGTGTGTGGTGTACGTGGTGTGTGTCGTGTATGTGGTGAGTGTGGTGTGTGTGGTGTGTGTGGGTGTGTGGTGTGTGTGGTGTGGTGTGTGTGGTGTGTGTGGTGTGGTGTGTGTGGTGTGTGTGTGGTGTGTGTGGTGTGGTGTGTGTGGTGTGGTGTGTGTGGTGTGTGTGGTGTGTGTGTGGTGTGTGTGATGTGGTGTGTGTGATGTGGTGTGGTGTGTGTGATGTGGTGTGGTGTGTGTGGTGTGGTGTGTGTGGTGTGGTGTGTGTGGTGTGTGTGGTGTGTGTGGTGTGGTGTGTGTGGTGTGTGTGGGTGTGTGGTGTGTGTGTGTGGTGTGTGTGGTGTGTGTGTGTGGTGTGTGTGATGAGTGTGGTGTGTGTGGTGTGGTGTGTGTGGTGTGGTGTGTGTGGTGTGTGTGTGGTGAGTGTGGTGTGTGTGATGAGTGTGGTGTGTGTGGTGTGTGTGGTGTGTGTGGTGTAGTGTGTGTGGTGTGTGTGGTGTGTGTGGTGTACGTGGTGAGTGTGGTGTGTGTGGTGTGTGTGGTGTGTGTGGTGTACGTGGTGAGTGTGGTGTGTGTGGTGTGTGTGGTGTGTGTGGTGTGTGTGGTGTGGTGTACGTGGTGTGTGTCGTGTGTGTGGTGTGTGTGGTGTGTGTGGTGTACGTGGTGTGTGTGGTGTGTGTGGTGTGTGTGTGGTGTGTGTGTGGTGTGTGTGATGAGTGTGGTGTGTGTGGTGTGGTGTGTGTGGTGTGTGTGGTGTAGTGTGT